GCTGTTGTTAAATAGTTACTATTAATTTATATATATTAGATATACAGATACAATCCATGATATTTCTGCAAAATATCAGTTCCATAAATAGCAAACAAATCACCGTGTCTCCCACTGAGATCAGAGTAAGTAAAATATTAATGAACACCAGCACGGGCCATCCAGAAGAGGGCAGAGACATCTCTCTCCCTGACCTATGTTCTGCCAGCAGCAGCTTTGCTGTCTTCCAGAAGTCCAGAGGTCTACGCTCCAGCCCACAGCACAAATCCACCCTTCACCTCTCATGATCATCCTGTCCTGTCAGGCTGTCAGTCTAGCAATCCTGTGGTGGATGTTCCTGGTTATACCCCCTGGCTGGACAGCCAATTGCTACACAGCATCAGGTCTTGCCCTCCAAGAAGATTCCTACCGATGCATCCGATCACTGAACCCACGCTGCGGTGCTGTGTGTGAGGTCGGCACAGGCCCGGGCTCTGCTTCACAATTTGTAGAACTGTGGCATTGTCGACGGTCTTACATGGGTGTATATTCTGCTCTGTATTTGCCTCAAAGCATGTCCTTCTCTTTCATAGGGAAACCTGAGTTTCTCCTGTGTGGAGCCCTATACGGTGCCTGTCTTTTTCAATGCTACAAGTTACCTGGAGGTGCCCGGACGGCTTAACCAGGACCTGTTCTCAGTCAGTTTCCAGTTCAGGACATGGAACCCCAATGGCCTCCTGGTCTTCAGTCACTTTGCAGATAATTTGGGCAACGTAGAGATTGACCTGACCGAAAGCAAAGTGGGTGTTCACATCAACATCACACAGACCAAGATGAGCCAGATAGATATTTCCTCAGGTCAGTGGAACCTATTTGACATTTGCTCCTGAAACTGCTAATGTGATTTTCAAAGCTGACGTTGTGTTTTGTTTTGTTGGTGTTACATGCTCGGGATTATGTTTTAACTCAGATTTTAGAGATACTTAGTTTTATCTTTGCGCCATTTGTGACTTTTTGGATCTCATAAAAACTATTTTCTACCACTCTGGGGATCCCTCTTGCTTCCTTGATCGAGCTATAACCTGGGTTAGGGCTTATTGGTTTCACTTAGAAGGGTACTTTATATAAAATGTTCAAAAGCAAAAACGTTAGCTGTTCGTCCTGGCTAGAGTTGGCTCCACTAACTTTCATTCCTCTCTACTCTTCCTCTTTGCCGATCACTGCGTCTTGGCCAAGCAAAGAGATACTGGCTTTTAAACCAGTTGGTTGAGATTGTCTTAGACTCACAGCGGTCCCCAAGCTTTTTGGCACCAGGGACCAGTTTCATGACAACTGTTCCATGGCCAGGGTGCAATAGGGTCTGTGGGGAGGGGAGGCAGAGCTGGGCGACTCACTGCCCAGTTCCTAACAGGCCACAGACCAGTACTGGGCTGCAGCCAGGAGGTTGGCGACCACAGTTTTAGAGCATCAAAATCTATTTCTTAGAAATGCTAGTTCATATTTAATAGAGAAATTATTGTTCTTCTAAGTGAATATTTATGTTTTTAAAAATGAATGTTTATTTTAAAAACATAACAGTATAAGGTATCTTTTTTTAAAAAATGCATTTTAATTAGTATGGATATATAATAGTTGTATATATTAATACTTATAGAGTATATGAGAGGTTTTGATACAGGCGTACCATGTGTTAATCAAATCAGGGTAATTGGGGTATCCATCACCTCAAGCATTTTATCATTTCTTTGTGTTAAGAACATTCTAATTCCACTCTTTTAGTTGTTTTAAAGTATACTATAACTTGCAGTCTACAGTAAGTATCTGGTATCTTTTGATTTCATGGACATTC